CCTAGCTGCTTTGTGCCATAAAACACCAACCAACCAACCAACTGCTCCAGATAGACTTCTGTGTCCAGTATGTGCTCTTCATTGTTCCTTTGCCTGCATGGCTTCGTTCAGTGGTTCCTGTTTCCATCTTATCATTTTCTGGCACGATTCATGTGTAAGAGAATTTTCTACTTCTACCCTTATGACTTAGGATCATCAACTGCTTCGATTGGTCTATTTTTCCCTGTGTCTTTGTTTCCAATTTATGTTTCAGACGTCTTCATATAAGATGCACCTTCTCTTTTTCATGGAGTTTCTCCTCCATTGTTCATTGGAGGAAACTCTTCAGTCAGGCTTGTAGCCTACACCTCATACTTTTATCTCCTACTATCTTCATACTTTCATCTCCTACTATCTTCATTGGATAGCCATTTCTTTCTTGTCAGGATACTGCCTGTTGCCATCCTTCAAACTTCAGTGCAGCTGTGACTGGGTAAGTTGTCTTTTTTATATATATTTTTTCCCTATTGGAGTATTTTCCATTTAGGATTTGGATCCCACTCGGTGAGCATTGTCTATCCAGGTATACTTCCTATTTCTCAAATCTGCACCATATGGCCAAGATTTATGGTTATCTTAATTATATTGATTTATTAATATGCCTGTTCCAGACCATACTAACCCATGGACTTGCATGGGTAAAGCAGATGGGATAGCTGCCTATTTCAGTGCAGTCTGCTTTTCAATACAGGTTTTTCATGGTCACCTGTTGCACTTTCTCTGTTGTTGGCATACCTCTGGACTCTCCACTGAGTTTTATAACCCCCCCCCCCTGTTCTAGTGGAGTATGGGAGTCCTTGTCACTTTCCAGTTCCGGGCTGCTGGGGTGATGGACCATGGAGGTATCCCCCATAATGTGATCTCATGCATTCAGTAGAGAGTAGAGCAGTGGTGTTCTGCTGGTGTTGTTGGCATGCAATCCTCAAATCATGTGCACCACCTCCCTGCTGTGGGTTTTGGAGATTAATGTTGCATCCAGCTTCTGTTCAGTTCTATCTGGAGGGAAAGGTTGCATATATTTTACAGAAGCAATCTATTTACATGCAGTGGTACATGGAGGTTGATGTTGTGCTTCAACTTTTATGCAGTTTTATCTGGAGGATGATGTTGCTTTGGAATATATTTGTCGCATTGCAGTTCACCCCTTCAATTGGGACCCCTCATTCTACCATCACCTGGATGTTGGTTCCAGTGAGTGGTTTTGAATTAGAGCTGGACAAATCAACATAAATCCTCACATGTGTTGGTTGTGATTCCTCATCCTAACTCCAATTTTGTCTTTTTGCCAATATTCTCCACCTCTGTGCAATGGGTCTTAGAGATTGATGTTGTGCACACATGCACTCCAACTTCTGTGTGCTCCTATCCGGAGGATGATGTTTGAGGTGAAGGTTCTGCCTCTAGCACTCCACCTCAGAACCTAAGGCTATTGTTGAGCTGAGGGTTTCCAGTCGTATTGAATTTGGTTTGATGTGAACCACCACATTGGCACATCCCTTCATACTGTCATTTGGATGTCAGGTCCCCGAATGTATGTGTGGTTGTGGATTTGCACAACTATGTTCGTTTAAGAACATCAATTTGATATGTATATAATTCTGTTCTAATTTAACTTGAGGTGAAGATGGTGTGGATCTTCCTCCTACCATGGATCGGTAGTTGTAATGCCAATGCCGATTGGTTTTGGACTGGAGTTGACCGTCTGCTTATGGTCTGTCATGCCCTAGCCATTTTACAATTTGAAGCACATTCCTGTCTGTAGATGGTTCTTCTACAGTCTTTCTTCACTGGGATTGAGATATCGTTATATTGTGGTTTGGGTTCGAACCCACCCATGTTTTCTCTCCCTTCTGGTTGTGCTTCTCCCACTTTCCATTTCTATATGCAACACCTACTTCCACACTGGGCACAGAGTATACCTCGTACACAGAAGTGGTGCAATCTCCCATGTGTGTTCCTCTCCCAGTGGGGATCACACTTCATGGGTGTTATTCAAACACTTTCAAAGGATACTTATTTCTATCATTCACACCAGTCTCTCCACCTATTCAATGTGGGATTCTAGTTATACATATGAGCGGAGTAATATACCATATTGGAAGTTATTATTTTCCTATACTGAAAATATATTTTTGATAGGTACATACCTCATTTCACTTCCAACCCTTCCTCCCCACTGAAAACCAGTGCTTTCTTTTCTGCCTAATTTCGAAGTGATAGTTTGGTAGAATAGAATAGGAGTCGCATGCTTCATGGGGTACGTGGGAGTTCAAGGCTTGTAGCATGCAAAAAAATCTTTGCATATAGAGGGCAGCACTGAACAAGAATAGCTGTACATGTATGCAAAGGTAAGTATCTATCAGAAATATATTTTCAGTATAGGAAAACAATAACTTTTGGTACTTGTTGCTACTTTCGCATTGTATTTTTGTTCAGATTAAAGATGTATATAATAAAGATAACCCATTATGAGTTTTAAATAATTTAATTTTTTAAATAAGTTTTATACACACCACACTAAAATTAAATATACATGAACTAAAATTGAGCAGCTACATCCATATTCATTTATACTGACTAAGAAACAAAGTGCATTAGGTTTCCTCATCCAACTAGATACATTTTTCTCAAGTCTTCCTCACATACTTCTTTGATTATTAAAAAAAACACTTTGGTGGATGCAAATGTGAAAAGTTGTTAGTATCTTTTGAAGAAAAATTTCTGAAAGTGTTTCTTATCTTGCTAAAAAATGATATTGGGTTTGGTTTTCATATCTGACAATTCTGTTTGTTAGCATTCATAAATTAGAAGCTTAATTAATATTTTTAATGTACATTGAAATGTTGTCACATCCAATGGAAGATTTATCTGTACTTATTTCATGCAGTATAAACTGAATTGCATATCAGTTGATTAAAAGTTTAGAAAATTTTAGATATAAAGGCTAATTTTTGTAATATCCTTTAATTATAAGTTGCCAATTGTATTGTTTCATAGATTCATCTTTTTTCTGAAAAATCTCTTTTAGAAGATAAGGAAATAATATTTTTATGTGTATTCAAAGTAACCTGTAATTTTCCTAATATTAGAACTATGTACATCATTGATACATATGCCAGTGAAAACAAAGATCCCCTGATTGTTGCCCATTGGGCTTCACTTTCAAGTCCGACCTGCAGCTCAGTGAAAATTAATATTATGACTCATGGATATGAAACTATATATAGGTTAGTGACATCTTGTCTGCTACTGAAAGTATAAAACTATTTTGTGGTAGTTAGAGTTGCAGTGAATAACACAGGTTGTCTTCAAAACCTCAAAATAATGCTGGAATCTTGTTTATTGTTGAATTTTTCTTCATGTTTGAACCTGTTGTTATTCTTTAAAGATATCAGTACACATTTGCTGGATATGTTACTTAACATTTAAATACTCACTTGAGGATCCCATGTTTGTTCAAAACTTTACAAATAGGGAATAAAAATGTGATAAAGTACATTTAATTAATTTATAAAGAAATATTTAATTCTCCATTCCTTTCCAAGTAACATCACTGGAGGCAAGAAAAATGTATTTGTAGACTTAATAGATTGGAAGCTATTATTACTTTGCTGAGTTCCATATGAACCACACACAAGTAGTTGAAGGTTAAGAAAAATGTATGGACTTCCTGGTGGTTAATTAAAGATGATCTCTTTTAAGTTGTTATTTTTATATGTATGTTATTACTGCTGTTTAGAAAGTATGATTGTTTATGTCCCAATAGATATCCCAGGAAAAATACATTGTGTGTTTTGTAAAATTTGTGTTCATTTCCTAAACTACAACTTCTTTACAAAACTGTAGATAAGTCACACTCTTAGATATTCCAGAAAAGATCTTTGGAACACTAAAATTTTGACTGAGTAAAAAGTTGTTTTTTTAATTATGATGAAAATTATGACTAAGCTCAATCTTACTTTTTTCTTTAATCTTGTTTATATATCAACTCTCACTACAGCCTCAGTCGATTTGATAGAGTTCATAACCCCAAAGTGGTCATCATAGTTTCCATACTATAACTTTTAATATGTTGTATCTTCACGAAATTTTGCAAGCTGTCAGTAAACATTACAAATCTTTTGTACACAACAAATCAGGTTTTTTTAAGTATTATTACCATTAATGAATGTATGGAGTCAAAGTTGTAACTGATCCAAGTGCAAAGTGACTTTCATGTTAAGATTAAAAATACTTTTATTTAATCTGAAAATCATCAGATTTCATTTTCTTAATCTCTAAAACCTCCTAAATAAATATCAAACATTTTTTTTAGTAAAACTAGAAAATCAGACCCCTCTTGCCACACTCACCTGTCATATCCTCTCTTTCAGAAATTGACAAAATTTCTCTCTGATGTTCAATACTATATTATTTATAACCAATAGAAAACCACACTTTTCATCTATCAAATGTTGTATTATATTACGTTGTTTTCTGTACAGAAAATAGTCTATTTCACTTCTAGTTCAAACTTTATTCCCATGGGAATTACGAGCTTAGCTGAATTCTTGATGGCTTGTTTCTCACAGTTAGAAAGCGAGAAAAATTGTGATAGTTATGGTACATTGTCTGCTTTTCACATGTGTTCTTTGGTGCATTAGATAATTAAATAAAAAATTATTTAGTGCACTACTACGATTAATATAAAAAAATAGGATTAAGTGTATTTTTTATGTTATTATAAAATTAACTAAAATATAAAAATAAGAAACTCTTTACGAGTTAAGGTTAGATTAGGTGAAATAAATAATAATAATATAATAAAAAATTTTCACAATGTGTGCTCGTGAGTAGCTTGTGCATAATATAATTTGATAGTGTAATGCGAGCTGCACGTTTGCTGAGTGATTTACAACTTATAATAGTGTGAGTAGTAATTAGACAAGGTTCAAAGTGCAATAAAATAATAAAATTTAAGTGTAAATAGATGTATACTGTTGCATGTTTAAAGCTATTTAGAATAAACAAATATAGTTTCATATTTCAATTTGAAGTCATTCTAGAAAGAAAAAAACGGTAATTGAAATTTATTTTAATTTTTTTTTGTTGGTTACACGGTCAGTCAAATTGACCAACCTTGTATAAAGTTAGGGTTGAGAAAATAACAGATAAAATATAAAGTTTTACTGAAAAAAACGTTTGAAATTATTTTAGGAGGTTTTAGAGATTATACAAATAAAATTTGAAATTTTTGGGACAAAGAAAAGTATTTGTAATCTTAACACAAAAATTACTTAGCACTCAGACTAGTATATAGACAAACTATATATATATTCAAAGGCAAATCTTTAGTAAAAATACTTCATTAAAAAATCTGATTTTTTGTGTACAAAAGATTTGTAGTGTTTACTAAAAGTCTGCCATATTTTGTGAAGATACACATATTGTATTAAAAGTTATAGTATGATAACTATAACAAACACAAATTGGTTAGTGAGTCAGTCCCTAGGACCAAGCCATAGTGAGAGAGTTAGTGGCCAATAAATATCCATCAATTGAATATTCTCTGTTCTACTTCTTACTTTGAACTGATTTTTCCTGGTTTGAGTTTTTGCAGAACACCTCTTGTGATACATGTTGAAAGAAAAACACTGAAAGCAGTTTGTCGAGATGGAAGAGTCATGAACCTTTCTTATGAACCTCAGGAGCTTACATACCTCTTAATGTCTCAGGTATCATTTTCAGAAGTGATTGGTATTGATGAACTTAAAGAACTGGATAACACTTGCAGGCACTGTACAAAACAAACACTTATTATTATTATTTAAATTTGTCAGAACATTTTTATTGATCATCTATGGCTTGTAGCTAAAAGTACCCATTAACTTTGTAGAATAGTCTACACTTTTGAGAAAGAGCCTTACAAAATTGTGAGAATATCTTACTATTTGTCTAAACTTACAATTATTTGTTTGTGCAGTGATAAAATTGAACTCTGTTTATATTGTTATTATCTTCCAGAGGTGAGATGATTATGTCAAAAATGTTGTTACAGAGGTTTCTTCTGTTAGTCATTAAAAAAACAAAATTGTTTTAAGGTATAAACGAATTTGTGTTGCTAATATGTATTGCTGAGAAAAAGCTTAAGAACTTTGATAACGTTTGGTGACAATAGTGATGGACTATAATAAATTTTATTTATACCCTTTCTTCAGAACTAACTTAACCTTAAACACACATACCTAGTAATAGAAAATCTAAATGAAAGTATACAAATTGTTAATAAGTAATTAATCTCAAAATAGTTTCAGCTTTTAAGTTTAATGAATCAAATCATATAGCTCTACTTTTGTAGGAATGTTAAATGTTTGAACTAGTTTAAGAAACTATTTATAGCATAATTGAAAATATGTGATATGTAATGTTTTGTTGTATTGGTTTTACTTTGGATTATTTACTGAAAAAAAAAAGATTTTCTACTTTGTCATTTTTTTAAACTGCAAAGTTTAAAGGGTAGGTGAACATTTGGTATTGCATAGCAGCCATTTATCATTAATAATGGCTGGAGACGGCTTGAATGGGTAATGAAGAAGAACTTTAATATAAGTTTAACATAACAGCAAATGTACAACATTTATCATTAAACTTTGGAGAAAAGTCTATATCTTTGATTAACAGATACAGATGAGTAATGTGCTTACGTTTTGTTAGGTTTAATTTAGAAAAAGCATTTTAAGAAATGCTGTTACATTTAGAATTTATTCTAGTCTGGATCATTGTATTTCACACTTCCTGTAATTATTAGAATGTACAGATAAAAGAAACATGTTCTGTGCCCACCATTCTCTGAAAAATAATTTCCGGGAAATTATGTTTGTGCTCTTGAACTGTTTCTCTTATTTGTTCTACGTGTTTAATATGCCATTATTTTTATTTTCTGAGATGTTGGCCATATATATATATATATTTTTTTTTCATAATCAGTTGAGCAGTATATCTTAAAGAGATCAAGAATTTATAAAGAATAATAATTTTTGCATATAGTTTGAAAATATGTGCAATCCACGACACTGCTCCAATTAGCATGGAATGAAAAGAGAGTACTGTATTTGGAATCTTCTCCATAATGAATGAATTAATGAATAATTGTTTAGTCATCCTTTATTATGATTTATTAGAATATTTAGTAAACAAATAGTGTGTAACCTAAATTACAAGTTTTATTAGGTGTCAATAGTTCAATATTTTTGTTAACTATCATTATTAATTCATGTATTTTCTTGTTTTCCAACCAGTTCAGAAATGCTTGTAAAGTAAAAGTTTATGGTATAGAAATTAATAAAATGCTTAGAAGTTATTGATTTGGTAAACTAATGACAGTTGTGATAATTTAACCACTTATGCAGAGGTAAAGGAAATATTTAAATTAATACTGTAGTATTAACTGTGTGCTATGCAAATTTTAATTTAAGCTTGTGGATACATACTAAATGTGCCTTGCAAAGGCAATATATTTAATATGCTTCAATTACTCAGACAATAAATTGAATATCCATACATTCAAGTACGAATTAAAAGAATCTTTTGGGTCCAGTTCCAGAACTGGTTACTTAGAAGTTTTCTCAGAACAATAGTAAATGTTAACAATAAAACAGTAACATGCACATGTCATGTACAACAACACAGTAATGTATCAAATGTAGGAACACAGATTACATTCAACAATATAGATAAATAGAGATATGATAGTGTTTAAATGATTTGAAAACAAATGAAATCAAGCAAAATAAATCAAGGTGGATAAGATTCATTAACTCACTAGTTTTTTTTATAAATGTAATATCCATAACATTATATTTGAAAATGAATATTAAGATAGCTAGCTGTAAATCAATAAAATTAAAAATTAGGTTGTTAGCTAAAGATTAGTGTCACTGTTAAGATCAAAGAGGACTAATATGTTTCACACAAGTCTGTTCTTGTCCAATGTTTGGCCTGAGCAGTTTTTATAAGATGATGATGTCCACTTTTAAGCTGACACGCTTGTACCTGCTTTTATGTGGTGTGTGTCTGGATGTCTTTCTGATAAAAGTCTCTACCATATTGACATAAGTGTTCATCAACAGTTCTTCCTCATTCGTTACTGTATTTATTTTAGGTTTTGCACAGGTCAAGAAAATCCTGGAAGGTCATGGTATTTTGTAAATGAATTTACCAGTACTGGAAATCTTGGAAAATTGATGTTTTTATCAGGGGGCCCAGGAAAATTTTAACTTTTCACTCTTTCACATCACGTTTGTATTGATGACAATCTCCAACCTTGTTCTTATATCAGTTGCATGAAAAACTATCATGAGAAAATGTGACTCATAAAATAGGAAGTATGCTGACTTGGTGACACTGGTTAGTAACAGGCTTAAACCCTGTGTACCTCAGCAAGTAAACGGGTGTGACTTGACTGGAATGATATTGTTAACATAAAATATACTCAAGACTTGTTTGGCAGAAATCTAAATTCATAAAACTGTTGATAGAATAAAGAACATGGAGTTTCCAGAATTTTTCAAATTCTAGCATCAGCATAAATACTTCAAAATTAAAAAACTGTTTCTAGGCCAAGATATTTTGAGTTACGTTTAGGGTCCCATTACTAAATATGTTGGGGACAATCAGGATTGTAAGTACAGTATTGTGATGTAGGTGTTTAATATTAGTTTTTCTCTTAAAAAAACTAGTTCATGGTTTTTACTTGTAATCATCATATCCTTTGACTGATACACATGATAGCACCCTTAATAACAAATAAAATTATTTAGAACAGTTATTTCTTTTTTTATTTGCTTGAATAAGTGTTTTTTGATAGCTTAAGTAGCACTGTTATTGCAAGAACACCTTGTAAAGCTGCTAATGCATTTTTTATAAAATAGAATATACAGGAATCCCTCGATTAGTGCAGTTAATGTGTTCTTTAAAAGAGCCGCAGTAATCGAATATAATAACTTATAGGAAATCATGTAATTCGTACCTCAATTTTCATTCTCATTCACAGTTAATTTCTATTTTGTGTATTTTTT